TTTAAAATCGTGACACCGCTTATGAAAAATCCTGCATACGCCACTGGGGATTAGGTGCTCTTTAGGTGTATGTTTATTGTTTGCTAATGGTAATATTTACAGTGTTTCCAAAAAAAAAAAAAATACTTAACAGGATGATAGTGATTTTTACGTATTTGGCAAAATATTGTTAATCTTTCGAAACTCTTATATATAATTATGTTATCCCTATTTTTCTAAAAACAATTAAATAGCCTATATAATAAAAATCCTACAACTGGTTTCCAATTTAAAATATTTATTCCTATTTTTAGTTTCATAAAAATAAATATGTAAAAATCACTTTACAATTTTAGTTTATATTTTAATATACATATTCACGTACAACCCTTGGGTAAAGTGTAGGATTTTCATAGTATAGGGAGTGAAAGTATTTGATCTTAAAATACAAAGGATATATCCGAAACTAATTAAGTCATATTATAGGAGTGTTTAGTGTAATTAACCCTTATTTCAGTTAGGTAGAACTTTATATTGGTTAGTAAATTCTGGTCTTCAAGAGGGTTGAACCTAATTGTTGTGTAGATTTAGTTAGCATGCATATTAATATATTATAAAGAATAAAAAAAGTTAGGATGCATTTCTTGAAAGGTCATGAGAAGCAAGTTAGTTTCAATTGAACCTAATTAAATTGTCGTTGAGTAGGACATAGGTTAACCATATATGTGGATCTAATAAGTGAAAGGATCGGAGACTTTCACTGACGGTGAACCTTTTTTTTAGAAAACTCTGTGCAATTTAATTGGTTATAGAAAAATCTTTTCATGTTATCTTATCCAATAATGGAGCCACCTTTGTCCAACGATTGTCATATATAAATTTGAGAAAATAATTAAATAATTATTTTAAATATATTAGCGACCAAGGTTGGTCGCTTTTTGGTCGATAATGTGGTCAAAATGTTGGTCGGACTGGTCAGACTTGCTTGGTCAAAAAAATACTAAAATTAGCGACCAACTTTGGTCGCTAAAGTGAGACCCAATTATAAAATTTTAATAATTATATTATTATTTTAAAAAAATATAAAATATAAATAAATATAATTTAAAATTAACGACCAAAGTTGGTCGCTTACAAAAGGGGAAGCAGATAGAGATCAACTTTCGTCGCTAATATATATATATCATTAAATCCCCTCAACCTTGTATATTTATTTATTTATTTATTTATTATATATGGACTTCTCTTAATATAAATTCTGATTCCGCTACTTAACATATATATCGAATCGGCTACGATGAGTTACCTTTTATTATATATCATCACAATTTGATAGTGTAAAATTTGATACATTGGTGATGCACAAAATGTAAGCTCTAAGTGAAAACATCTAGGAGAGAACATGGAATCTTACCTCATCAAACACATGATGATGAAATGAGTCAAATCATGTGATGTTGCAACAAGATTGCCTAGAACCCCTGTGATACTTCATTTAGTTAAAAGAAATAAGACATTTAATTCTTTTTTTCCTTCAAACGTGAGCTAGTAATCCGTTAATGTGAGCATAGAAAAAAAGTTTCAAAAGCTAGTACGACACTGGAAAAAGAGGTACAAATTGACAAATAACCACTCTTCAGACTGCTAATCAAGTTTAGACATCGCTTAAAAGTAATTAAATTTAATCATTTCTTAATAAATTGGACAAAAATATCCCTAAATTGAACACAGAAAACCTAATTTCTTCTTTTGCGCAACTTCCATAACTCTAACACCAAACAACACGACCCATTACTTCCACCGGGGGCAACAATGATCCCCGGCAATATTCTTGAATCAACAATAACAGCATATCCGGTAAAATCCCACAAGTTATGAAGTTAGAGAGCAACAACATATCATGGTCGACGTTTTCTTTCCGAGAGCAACAGCTAAAGTGGCCATCCTATCTACTCCCTCCGTTTCAATTTATGTGAACCCATTTGACTGAGCACGAAGTTTAAGAAAAGAGAGAATACTTTTGAACTTGTGGTGTAAAATGATGCACATATATTTTGTGTGGCTATAAATCATTGCATAAAGGTAAATTGTTTCCAAATAAGGAAAGGGGTCATTCTTTTTGGCACGGACCAAAAAAGAAATAAGTTCACATAAATTGAGACGGAGAGAGTAATTTTTTCGAAAAAAGATGGCACATACGTGATCGTTTGCGTATGAGCTAGGGTCCATAAAAGAAGTAGAAATCAAGTGGTACATGTCACTGAAATAAGGATAGTTGTTATCAAATGGGCCAAATATGAACTGTATTCTATAGTACATATTAAGCCTTTTTGGCTTCTAACATAAGGAACTTATTGCTTCTCTATATTCTTGCTGAATCATATTATTGTACTTTCTACTTGGTAACCAGTGTTTTGAGTTGCCTAAAGGGATAAGCCTGTTACAGCCAAGTGTAACGCTATTTACATTGTTTTCATTTTATTAGATTTGTATGATTTCTAAAGGTTTTTGTGGACTAAGGTCGCCCTAATCTAGGGCCATGGACCTCATAGCATGTTGTTCGTCCGTCCATTATTAATATTTGGAGAAGTTACACATTTGGCCTCTCGATCAAAAATATTTACAATCACCAGCCAATATACATAAATTATACACTATTTATGAATAATATACACAACAATAACGTACAACAAGTATGGAGAATAATATTTACGCACACGTTACTTCTATTTTGAGAAGGTAGAGAATTATGTATGATATGCACATATATTATATATATCTGCAAACCAATTTTTTTTTTGTTGGCCGACGATATAATAGTGCTAAAATTCATTAAATTTTTCAATAATACACATAATTCAACTCAGGAATAGATGGATGCGTTTATATTGACCCTATATCTTTAGAAGCGGCAAGATCAGAAATTTTGCTAAGAGTGCTTAAAATTTTATATGTATAAAAGTATTACTTGGCTTATATAGGCAGTATAATATTTCGGCGAATGATGTCTCGACTTGGAGTAAAATTCGTGCCCTCCCCTAGGGGCGGATCTAGTGCATTGGTTATGAGTTCACGCGTAAACTCACTAACTTTTGCCTAGACCCTATATTTGTCTCTGAAAATATAAAAATATTTAGCTCGAAAACCCGTCCTTTAATCGGGTTATTATTGTATATTAACTTGAGATTACTGTAAAAACTAATAAACTTAAAATTCTGAATCCGTGTGTTTTCACCACCCCTAGCTAGTAGCTACTAAGGATAGATGGGTGTGGTAGTGAAGACAATAAGGAAAAGAAAAGAACAGTCATAAGTCATACTTCAAGAGATGTTTCATGAACATCTACAGCATTGCATTTGCATATATCTTGTGAATGTGGGCTAAAGAAACAGTTGCCAAACAGAAGATGTTGGCAGTTGTTAAGTAGTAATACTGTAGTACTTACTTAAAAAGAAGAAGAAGAAGAAGAAACAAGCGCTAAAGATGCGCCGGCAAAGTTACGGAACCACACGTGATATCATACGAATGCTGTGTCAGAGAGAAAAGGGCCAGGCCCATGGGCCCAACTATGGCCCAGCCCAATACCGAAAGTGCAGTTTTGCGTATGATAATTAAAGCGACTCTTCGTAAAACACTGACGTCACGTGAATTTCGACTCCCGACACTTGGCTCTAGCTGTTTTTGCAAGTTGTAGGAGTAGCACAGAGCAGTTAAAACTGTGAAGGGTATATATAATGGAGAGTCACGATTTTAATTTTATATATTTTGAATTTTAGAACGACAACTTCAAATGTTAATAATTATATTTTTTATTTAATAGTTGGACGCATTTAATAAATTTCGTAACAAATATACTGTTTGAACAAAGTTATTGAATTCGACTGAATTCATAGCTGGACTTCTGCATTCGTCCGTGGTGAAGGAGCACACAAGAAAAAGTAACTACCCTGTCCATATATAACTAGCTAAATTAACTAACATAACATCCCACCACCTGTAATAAATAAAATTGCCCACAGAATTAGGTAAACAAAAGCCACACTCTTTTCAAATATTACCAACTGGCAACTACTATGGAGATGTTGGCAACGAGAAAGCAAACTGTCATTATTTATCAATCTTTTGTTATGTATGGTGTTATTTTGCACCAAACTCTTTATCTTTTAAATTTTGAATTATATATTGAAACTAAGAGGTTTCGCTTTTTCTTTCTCTCTCTTCGATAACGCACGCCTGTCTTTCTAATGGTAACACTGCCATTTCCACCGGCAAATTTCAGCGCCGGCGATTCGTCCAGGTGAACCAGGTAAGTTCGACCCTCTCTTTCTCTCTCCTCTCCTCTCCTTTCTCTCTCCTTTCTTTCTCCTTTCTCTTTCCCGGGTCTCTCTCTTCCTTTCCCTTTCTTTTAACCCTAGCAGCAGCTAGGCCGACGACCCACCGGCGCAAGCTATCTTCTGCTTTTCCGGCCCAGCCACACCACCCTCCCATGTGTTTCCCCTTTCTTCAAACCTTGCCTCGGCGTACATCTAGTTCTCGGGCAGGCTTTGTTTTCCAGCGACCGTCCCGGTGACAGTCCTCCCCCTTTTCTTGGCCTCAGGGTTTGCTGTGTGTGTTGCAGGTAGCACTTTTGATGGCTGTTTGGTGACGGGTGGGAGGTGCACGGACAAGCATAGCGGAGCAGGCCATTTGACAGTCACAAAGGGCTGGACGTCGGGTTCCAAAGCACCTAAGTTATATTTGCGGGAATTGCTGCAGCTGCCCAGGCAAGCGCGAGGCATACAGGCGAGTAGAGCGGAGCATCTCCGGGTGCATCAAGTCATATTTCCAGGTTCTTTCCATCGGGAGTTGGTACCTCCCGTTTTCTTGTCTCTTTATCTGTGTTAGATAATTTGTGGCGATCTAGTTAGCACCATTTTAAGCGTATTTTTAGTATACTTGTAGTTGCAACCGGTTATTTTCTGGTTTAGGCCCGGGTTAGTGCCTTCCAAAGTCTGTCGTAGGTATAATGGTCGTGGTGTGGGATGGTTGNATCGAAGGCGAGGAATGCGGACGGGTATAAGTTGTGGTACTCTAGAGTCGTGAGGGGTAAGAATGGAGTGGGTATCTTGGTGGATATGGATCTTAGAGAGTCTGTGGTTGAGGTTAGGCGAGTGAATGATAGGCTAATGTTTATTAAGTTGGTCATTGGTGAGTGCACCCTCAATATAGTTAGCACTTACGTGCCGCAAGCGGGCTTGGATGAGGAGGTTAAGAGGCGCTTTTGGGAGGGCCTGGATGAGATTGTGCGTAGTATTCCTCCTACTGAAAGGTTATTTATTGGAGGGGATTTTAATGGCCATATCGGGGCGGCTGCTGGTAGTTATGGTGAGATGCATGGTGGCTTTGGCCTTGGGGATAAGAACGGATGAGGTACTTCGCTGTTAGACTTTGCTAAGGCTTTCGAGGTGGTGATTGCGAACTCAACTTTTCCGAAGAGGGAGGAGCATCTGGTTACTTTCCGAAGTTCGGCGGCAAAGACTCAGATCGATTACCTTCTCCTCAGAAGGTGTGATAGAGGGTTGTGCAAGGAATGCAAGGTTATCCCGAGAGAGACCCTCGCGACTCAGCATAGGCTCTTAGTGATGGACATCAGCATGAAGATGAAGAGGAAGAAGAGGTATGCTCGTGGCCGACCAAGGATTAGATGGGGAGCTTTAACCAAGGATAAAGCCCAGGAATTAGAGGGGCGGTTATCAGCTATGGGAGCTTGGAGGAGTAGTGGAGACGCGAGCACTATGTGGTCAACTACGGCGAACTATATGAGGAAGGCGACGAGAGAAGTGCTAGGAGTATCGAAGGGTTTTTCTAGCAGGCACCAAGGAGAGTGGTGGTGGAATGACATAGTCCAAGGTAAAGTGGAGGCGAAGAAGGTAGCGTACGCAAAGTTGGCAGGGAGCTCAAGCGAGGAGGAGAGGAGAGCGAATAGAGAGAGGTACAAAGTGGCTAGAAAGGAGGCGAAGCTGGCGGTCACGGAGGCTAAGAATGCAGCGTTTAGCCGTATATACGAGGAATTAGGGGAGAAAGGAGGGGACATGAAGTTGTTTCGGCTGGCTAAAGCGAGGGAGAGGAAGGTCCGGGATCTGGACCAAGTGAGGTGCATCAAAGATGAGGATGGTAGAGTATTGATGGGAGATCCGCAGATTAAGCAGAGATGGCAGACGTACTTCTATGGTCTTCTAAATGAGGAGGGGTACCGGGATATAGCGCTAGGGGACTTGGGGCATTTGGAGAGTCTCCGAGATTTTAGGTATTGCAGGCGCATTATGGTCGACGAGGTCGTGGGGGCTTTGCGTAAGATGAGTAGGGGTAGAGCGACCGGGCCAGATGAAATTCCGGTTGAGTTTTGGAAGTATGTGGGTAGAGCATGATTGGAATGGCTGACTGGGTTGTTCAATGTAATTTTTAGGACGAAAAGGATGCCGGAGGAATGTAGGTCGAGTACAGCGGTACCTTTGTACAAGAACAAAGGTGATATCCAGTGTTGTAACAATTATAGGGGTATCAAGTTACTTAGC